TCACCCTCACTCCCCCCCCAACGTACACTCCCGATGCTTTTAATTTTTTGTCTAACAAGATACCCGTATGACATTTTAAGACAAAATCTGTTATAAATAACATATAGATTACGACTATCACTAGGTAACCTAATGATGATGCTTTAATAAAGACTTGTCCAATCAATCGACCACTATCATCAAATTCTATTATCTCCCCAATAATATTAATAATTGACAGTATTATTAATACAAAAAACTTTATAAATTTTATTGTATATTTTGTAAATTTTGGTATTATAGCATCTCCCTCTTCGTTATTATGATTGTAATTTGAAGTTGATGTTTCACCAATTAAAGTGATTATTAACCAATCCGTTAATAATGTATATAATGCTTCTATTATTATGAAAAATCCTCCTACCAATAAAACTCTTGTGATTATGTTTAATGTGATTGAGTGATATATCGTTGACCATGCTGTACGAACTATGAAGAGTAATAATCTTACAAAACTAAATGCAAATAAGTACGAGTAAATTGGCCTACGAAACTTTATCATACGATATAGATGAAGTGATGACGTTGATAGAAATAATATGGTCAATATAATTGAAGGTGTTAAAGTTGGTACTGTCATTGGATAAATTATTGGTGATTGTTTGCCTGCCATATTTTCATTACAGTATGTGCGAAAAATAAAAAAATTTGATGATAAATAACGAAAAAAAAAAGTATATGAATATATATATATACATTATTACTATGAAAATTTATTCTATCAGTGGTTAAAAAAATTTCTTGGCGGTACGTTATTACCTAATTAAAGTTTGCCAAGAAAAATATGTAATCGATGCCCAGAGAAAATATCATTTGGGGCTGCAATAAAATAGACAAAGTCGAATATAACGCCACAAAAAAAATTAGGGTCCAGTCATTGAAATTTGCTAAACGCCACATTTTTACTACTAACGGATCCTCTTAACGGCAATCCTAGTAGTAATATTAATATTAATATTATAATTAGGAGATGGTATATATTCAGTTTTGGCCTAGCACTTCTATTCGAATGAAGTTTGAATTAACTTCCACTATTCGAATTACATTGATGATTATTCGAGTAAAACGAATGAAACGAAAATATTAAGAAAAAAATTCTTTTAGTCGATATAATAATGACAGTTATAGTGGGTTGGGGAGTGGGCTCCCTTTTAACGTCAATACTAAATAACATTAATGATAAAAGTAATTGTAATAAAAATGGTAATAGTAAACTTCAATAGGAAAAACGTGAATCTTTCCTTATTAATTTATAAATTTATATATATATAGTTTATTATAATAATAATAACAGAGTTTTGTTAACTCAAAATAAAAACAAATAATAAAAACAAATAAATTGAGTGGAACGAAATGGAACGAATGGAACGAATTCATTCGAAGCCCTAAAATGGCCTTTATCTTCTTAATTAGGATAAATTTTATGAAGATCTTGAATATATTTCTAAACATTGTAAATAAAGTATTTCTCAAATACACCCTCTGCTCGGGTCCTGATCTTATATTTTGCTACTGCCTTTTTAAAGTCTTCTTCATCTTGGACATTTCCACCTTGGAGATGACTATTACATTTTATAATCGGGCACAAAAAAAAAATTTTTCGACCAATGCTCGGAAAAGATCCCTTGCATATAAGGGAACTTCAGCAAGTCCTTTGAAAGTTAAAAGCTTACTCTAATACAATTTCAATAAAATTCAGAGCCACTATCCACTTTGAAATTTCCGTTGCACCACATCTCACAAGTTTAGGCGGTCTAATTAATCCTTGTTGGTGAGTGAAAAGATAATTAGAATAATCGTAATATTTTAATATTGAGCCTAAACAATTTTATTTCTCAAGTCAAAGCATAAAATATTAAATAAATGATCAAGGTTTATGCAGACATATTGTTGTTGAAAAGAAAAAATTTTCTCATTTTAATTACCTTATTTATTATTTCTTAGTCAAAATGGACAATCAATATCATCACCAGCAATAAGAATAAATTATATTCTCTTCAGCTGGGCAAGCAAGACTGTTTTGTTTTAAAGGAAAAAACCAACCGTCGTAACATGTAATTTTATTATTGTTGCACGATAGTCCCGTGAAAGTCACGCGAGTTTGTGCAGGGGTATAGTCCTAAGAGTTGAAGCCTACCATGGGAACATGCTGCCTTTATTATTACTCCTTATATGATTAAATTTTTTTTCTTAGTTGTACATACATTGCTTTCAAATGGAAATGTATGACCAAAAAACAAATCTCATTTTGTTGATATCATGTATTTATTGTACGACCATATTTAATATTACGTTTATTTTGTCTAAAACTTCCCAATTTTGGAATTTTGAAATTTAAAATTGGCGCGGAGAGAAAATTTCTCTTCCGATTTCTAAAACTTTTATTGGAATTTCGTAGTTTTCATGATAGTATTCGCGCCAGATGTGAAGGCTCAACCAATCAATATGCCTTCAAATCCAGATTTAACTATAAAATTGCAATATTCAATTTCACATAAACAAAATTGATAAAGGTGTAACCTTTTCGGAAATTATTCACATAATTTCATCTAATACTAATACTAATTGTAAATTGGCCAGGTATTTATTTCCCTATTAAATTCAACGAAAATCATGCTAATCATGTGATCAAAAGATTAATCAAGGTTCATTTTATGCAATACTTCTCCGACCCAAAATAAAATTATTTGTACTAAATATCAGAAAATAGGAATGCCATTATTATTTGTTGATATAATTATCAATGATTAAATCTAATGCAGCAAATCTGCCAGATAATATAAATTAAGCGAAAAAGAAAACTTGAATTGTATTTACTTGCTTTCTTTCTTTATATGATCAACAAATTAATTAATTAAAATATTACGTATAAAATATATATAATTTGCATTTAAAAAAAATAAAAAAAATGTATATTTTAGATTTCTTCAATTCAAATAATAAAAAGAGTGAGCCAAGGTCAATAAATGCTCTAAAGAGTTTAATAATAGCATTTTCATTATTATTATTATGTGGCATTATTGCACTTCAAGTTTTCAATATTATAAATGATAAACCAATTATTCAAAGGTCGTCGATGGAGAAAAAAAGAAATTCCTTTCCCAAGTATTATTACTATTATTTTATTTTACTTTTCAAATAATTAATTAATTAACTAATCAATTAAATAATATGTAGACATTATCGTTAGCTCGACGTATAAATTTGAATTGAAATGTCTTGAATGTAATTATATTGTATATGTATATATAATATTCCTTTAGAGAAAAATAAATAAATTTAATTTTCTGAATTTTTGATTTTTAAATAAAAGATAATTTTATTTTAATTAGTGATTGTTCAAACTTCTTAATTCAACCTGATAATAAAAATAACGACGGACGTTATTTAGGATTCTTTTCACCGATGAAAAATCTAACTTTTAAAAATAGAAAATATGACCAAAATGCTCTGCTGGATTTCAGACTAGGAATTTTTTACGAGAAACAAACCTATGATGTTGGGGATTTTTACACCAGTGTGTTATTTATTGATTCAGGTATTTTTTACTATTTTTCTCGTGTGATTAGATTATAATTGAAGATTATTGATTGGTTTTTTTCATCATTATACAGAACAAGATTTTAGAAACAAAAATATTGTTGACATACAAAATTCTTTCGATATTTCAAATCAATTTATATTGGATCCATTAGAAGTAAACACTTTATTATATAACTTTATTTAAAATATTATTATTATCAAAATTAATAATGATTTACAATTATTAGATTTATCACTTTATTTATAATCGTAAATCAGAATCAAATATCATTTCAAATTGGAAAAGTTTAATCGGGTTACCGCCAAATTATGATCAAAAATATTACACTAGTGTGTTTTTTCGTGAGTTATTGAGTAATTTTCTTGGGCACTTGGATGAATATTTTACAAATAATTTATTATTAAAATTTTCTAATATTATCAATCAGGTGGAAGTACGAGGCTAAATGGACCAAAATTTCCTGGAATAAACACATATTTAACGATTTCACCACAAACTTTTATGTTGGAGGTTAATAAAGAAATCAGGTAAAATTGGAATGTTAAATAAATTTATAATATTGAGTAATTTATTGAATATAAAATAATAAATAATAAATTTTTTTTCCAAAAAAAAGGATTAATAATGTAAGTATCATGAAATTCACATATTTGGCAATTGGTTTTTTATTCGACAAAGAAATTAATCTCTCTTGAAAAAATAAGGTTTTAATGTCATTAGGATTAATTGGTGGAATTTGGATTCTTATATCAGCAATTTATGGGTGTTTGTTTGGTAAAGATGTAATAAGACCTTGGGGAATAATTCAAAAGTATTTTTGTTGTTTGTCCATTTCAACAAAACATAAACTTTTAGATTCATTTAATACTCTACCATTAGTCACCCCCACTACCAATTATAATGATAATCAAGACAAAAATGATTGTTTAAAAAAACAAATTGAAAATTTAGAAGAAAAATTAACAGCATTAGAAACTTTCTTGGGTGAATATGTTGTTGATCCAAGTTATTTAAAAAATTTAATAAATCAAAAGCCTGCATCAAAAGACCTTGGTGGTTCAAAAACCACTGAAGTTGGTGCGGTAAGTCCTGTTACATCAGTAAACGAGTATCATCAACGTGCTTCATCTATTCTTACAACTACCACAAATATAACATCGCCAACCATGATCATAAACCCTAATATGATGGCAACACCTAAAGTTCCAACAACTTCAAGAAAATCTTTACCGCCATCATCTATTAACAATTCTAGCAATAATGATAATAATTGGCAAATTGATGTTAATGACAAATTAAATTCAATTCCATATCAAGATACTAATAATAGTACTAATAGTAGTAATAATAGTAATAACAATAGAAATAGGAATAATAATAGACAAATGTCAATTGATCCAAACATAACTATTCGACCATCATCACATCATCATCATCATCAACTTCATCATCGTCATCATCTTCTTCCTCATTTATCTATGCCTAACTCTTCTTCTTCTTCATCATCTTCTTCTTCTACACATACTCCACTTCACCCCTCCACCCCAATCACTGCCCCTACTAATATCATAAATAATGATGACAATGATGATTTGATACTACCTATTGTTACACAAACTTTATCTTCACAAAAAATGAATGATATTAATAATCATAACATTAATTATTGGTAGATAATTTAGAATATTTTTACTTTGACAGTTTTTCTCAAAAAAATAAAATCTTTTATATTTAATTAATTATAGAAAAAGGAACAGTAGTATTATATGTAGCATAATATGCAGTTCTGATTTGCAAGCTTGAAGATAGACAAAATGAATGTAAATGACAGTTGTCTTTTTTGATTTCAGAAAAGTTATCATCAATGTAGTCGAATTTAGAAAAAATTGCAGCAGAGAAAGGAAAGAGTTCTCGGTTTATAATATTCAATATATCATTTTACTCTGAACAAGTGTGCATCCTACTAAAAGTCACTGCCAGTTGTGAAAATTTATTATGAAAGATATAAAATTTTGAAATATAAATGACTTCAAGTCTTTTTCTAGTAAAACTTTTTAAGTTTTATATCATTCAAAAGCTCATTATAAATCAAGTATTATAATACAAAAAACGTGTGGAATTCATCCAATCGTTTTTTTACATTCCATAGCATTACATGGATTAACGTGTTGACGGGCAAGCAAATAACATCAAATACGTCTTGCATTGAAATTCTAGGAATAATTTTTGTCACGACATACTGATTATGTATCATCAATGATTTTTGACTCTATATTCATGTGTGAAGAATGAATACATTACTTTTCTATATAATGACTAAAAAAGCCTTATTGATCTTACAAATATTATAAATATTATAAATAAAATAAAAAATTAAATTAAAATTAGATCTGTACATTAAATTACTATTATTATTATTATTAAATAAATATCTAAAATTATAATGAATATCTAAATTTTTTTAAAGAAATGAATAAGTGAATACGAATAAATGAATATGAATAAATGAATGGATGGATGGATGATGATGGATGGATGAATGAATGAATGAATAAACAAATATATCATTACAAACTTTTTAATTGATGAACCCCAATCAATCAATTAGAATTATTTAAACATATTAACATCTTGATTAAGATCTTCTACCGATTTTTTCATTATTCCCATCTACCAATGTACTGTTATTTCCATTTAGGAATGTAATATCATTATTTGAATTTGGTGGGCGGTGGGACGAATGTTCCCTTCGATATTTTCAAAAAAGTCTTTATAAATCTCTTTGGTTCCATTTTCATTTTATTTTTTTCTGCATAATTTTCAACCACTTGAAAAACCCTCAACATGATATTCAAATCTCTATTATATTTATGCAACTTGGCCAATGCTTTACGCTTCTCAACTGGATCTACGCACAACAGATCGTGTGGATCAAATGTTGGTTCATCATTTTTGTCAGATGGTGAACATGATGACACATTAGATTGAAAACTATGTCCACGATATACCAATTCATTAGATGTGGTAAGATTTCCCCATAAGTCAATCACAGGCAATTCCTTATAGTTGGCTAGTTGACCATCAGGCAATTCCTGGAAAATAATATTCTCTTGCATCAATGGCACACTAAATATGGAACCTGGATCAGGTCTATCTTTTCGGAAATGAATGTGTTCACCAAATTCTGCATGATTTGTGGAGAAACTGGTGAAATTACTAAAATTTGGATATAACATCACGTAGCCACGAAGGTATACCAGTTCAATTAAATATTTTTTCCATGACCTTTTCCAAAAATTTGATCGACTATATGGCACCTGTATATCATGAAGTTTATAAGTGTCGGCATCATCCATTCGAGCAACAAGATATTCATGAAATTCACGCCATATTTCTGGAAAGTAGACTGCACCCCAACTACAAGGAACCTGACATAGATATGGTGATCTGATATCATATTTTGTATTTTCCAACACCATTTCAGGAAAGAATTTGACGCGGCCAGGAAGTGGAAGTTCCATATTTTTTTGATTATATAAACTTAAACCATACAATCTTTTACTATATGCTCTATCTGGTCCATATCTATATTTTAGAATAGCGTACTTTGACCAAAGATAATGAAATGGTGATAACTCAATGTCATCTTCCAGTAGAAGCGCATAATCATTGTAATCATAAGAATAATATGATTCAACTACAGCAGGCAATAAGCCACCTTGAACCACTCTGTGTCTAATTTTCTTCATACCATGTATCCATTTAAATGTGTTTGAAAGCTCTATTGTTTGATTAATTGCTCCTCTGTCCATATTGATTGTTAATGGAACATCATCTCCAAAGTAGATCGATGAATTCAATGATGTCAAAAGACGCATCAAAGAATCTGGTCGGCTTTGTGTAAGTATTTGTATTTGAAATTTTGGTAAATTCCAATCTATACAAATAAATGAAAAATATTCATAAATAACAAATCAATATCAACACACACACCACACACATATGTTTAAAGGTTACTTACTTTTTAATGATTCAAATGGCAAATCAGTCATAATTTCTATTGCATGATGGATTTCATCTAAAGGTAATTGTATTTTTGTGATATTTTTGATTTCATTTGCTGCAAGTGTTATTCCATGAACAACTTCATTTTTTTCAATTTTAGAATAAATCACAACTTCTGGTTTTATAGATTGCATTAACTTACCAACACCATGAAAAACTTTAATTTTCAATTCAATATCATCATTGTAAGAATCTGTCTTAATATCCAAATCATAAATTTCTAAATTTTTGCATTTTGAATAGTAATTATTTTTCAAAAGAATGGATTTAAGTTTCAAAGCAGACATCCCTCTTGAACTACCAGTTACCACCACGTTTACTGAATTATTCTTGATCGCTGATAAACTGCAAAATAATGGTCTAAACATTTTTTCCTGATGTTCATCATCAATAACAAATAGCATTCTGTTCAATTCCATATTTTTCTTCACCAATGATTCTTTGAATACTACGGGATAACCATGTTCAATAAGATCGTTCCAAGGAACATTCGTTTTGAGGGTTGATTGTAGATTTTCACATGTGTTCTGTTGTATTGAGTTCTTGTCACCCCAAGTCTCCTTATCATTTTCATAAGTAGGTAGGATATAAGAAGGTATGTTTGCGTGATATTTGAGAGCATAAGTGAAATAGAAACCAAAGGGGAGACCATTCAACATAACATCCAATCTATTTTGTCCTTGAAACAGTGTAGAAATCCATTGTCTTTTGAAAAACCAAATATTAGTCAGCATGTCAACCTTTTGAGAATTGGTGACCGAATCCAACAATGTTGGATCCTGATGATAATTGTTATTATTTTCTGCCAGGCAAACCAATGATTTTTTATCATTGTTGTTCATGCTCAAACTACTATTAACTTTAATGTATGCACCCATAGTTCCCAACAGGGCATTACTATATTCACTGGTGTTTGCAACATGGAGCATGTTCAAAATAAATTTTCTGCCAAGTATTACACCAGAATCCAAAAGGAGCACATTGGTCGTTTTTATATGTTGTGTAAGCTGTAACCAACCTAACAATTTTAATTTATTACCAGTATCCATTATATGTATAGATATTATAAAATCATTATGTTTCTCTTCAAGCACTTGTTCTATTTTGTTTACAATGCTTTTTGACGTAACTATTATAATATTTGCCGATATTATTGATTGATTGAATATAGAGTTCAATTGTGGTTCGATATTTTCAAGTTTGTCAATTATGGAAATAATAGTTAATTCAGAAGATAAATATGGGTTCCAGCCAGAAGTTAATTCTAATAATTGTGGATATGTATGTCAATTCAACATTGATGTATTTGCATTTTTATCAAGATGCATAATGTTGGAAAATATATATATGGATTAGCATTGTGCCTAGATCTGTCAATTACAAAGAGAAGCGTACATAAACAAACCTTTGAGTACTCGAGGATTTTGTAATGAATAATGGTTGCGATCAATAGGTTTAGTGGGGTAAGCGTTTAAAAATATGAAATAGACGAGTAGTAGTGATAGTATAATGGCAAATGATTGAAGTTTAGGTATTTGAGTTAAGCGTAAATATTTTAGCATTAGTGGTAGACGCTTTGTAAAATTTTGATGGTAATGACAGTGTAATGATGGCATTCTTATCATTCTTATTATTAATTAAATTAAATTAAAGAAAAATTCATTTTCCCTTTTTTATTGCCGATTTTAATTTGTATCACCACACAATTTCTAATATTTATTTGCATACAAAAAAACAAATAAATATTAATATTGCATTTCATTCGATTTACCTGTTGTTATTATATTTGTTTATATCTTACAAATAGTCTGGCGTAAATGGTCCATTAATATCACCTCCTTGCATCCCATTTTTTTAATTTCTTTTTTTTCAGTTATCACCTACAAAACGAAAGTCATTATTATTATTAACTAAAGGAAGAATTGAACACTTGAATCCCATTTCAAGAACTTACAGCTTCTTTTCATCATAATCGTAATTCATATTTTGTTGCCGTCGCCACTTTTCTTTTTTTTTATCATTTAATTGTTCAATTATCAAAAGCTGCATGAGTGGGCCAAGCCTTCCATTCCAAATCAACAATGTCCAAATTTGGTATTTTCAAATCATAACAGCTTAACTAGATACCTGCAACGGATCAAATTAATCACGGGACTCAATTTTCGGATTGGGATTGGGCTTAACATTAACAGCTGCGGGCCAAGTTCAAGTTGTAACTTAAAACACTTACAACACGTAATATATAATACAGTCAAAGCTCGTTATAGTGGACTTTTTTATTTTCCCAATCCACTTTATAATAAAATTTGTGTAAATCATGTGATTTACGGGAATCTTTTACATTAATGGTTAATATCTAAATAGTGTGTGACTTTAACAAATTGAATTAATTGGTATGCTACCTTTTATTAATTTTTTGATGGCAGCAACGCTTGATTAATTTTTTTTTACAAACTGAAGAAGCAATAAATTTAAATCAAATTTCTTCTACTGAAATTTTTGAACTACAAAATTCAATTGATGCATTAAATAATTTAGAAAAAGTGATTCAATATTTAAAAAATCCACCAGATAATTTTACAATTAGCTATCAAGAATTAAAAATGATTAATGGTTTAAAATCAAAAATTCATAAACATATTCAGGATAATGCAAAACACACTAGACAGTTTTACTTTAATTCCTTGACATAATGCATGTTGTCTGTTTTTCTCTAATGGATGGCAAATGATAATATTATTATTATAGAAATTATAATGATTTCAATATGTGCATATAATAAATATTGTGAGATTGTAAATAAGGACTGGGGAAGTCCCGGGCATGTCGATCAATCGGAACCAACTTACTGCGGTAGCCACGTGACAATGACATCATTTTCTATTTTTATCTTAATAT